ACTCTCCTGCACCCCCAGTCCCTCAGCCTGCACTGTGAGGATGTACAGCGCCTGTGTGCCCCCAGTGCCACCGATTGTGCACTCACAGCGAGCAACTGTGTGTCTTGACGATTTCACTCCATTTCTTTAAAAACAAAATCTACAGGAGCCAGGGAGATAACTCAGTAGAATAAGTGTTTGCCTGGCAAGCACAAGGGCCTAAATTCAATCCCCGGTTCCGCCAAGACAAACAAACAAAAAAAACCCCTAAAGCCACCTATGGAATGTGGAGGGAAGGGCGCCTGGCTCTGGGCTCCTATGGGGCGTGGCCATGAGGGACAAGGGCGGGCAGTCTGGGCTGGTCCTCCGGGGCCAGATGGGAGCTGGGAATGGGAGAAGCTGAGGGGACAGGACGGCGGCTGCAGAGGCCAAGTCGCTCATTTGCATCACAAGTGGTCGGTTTCCCTGCGTCCCTCGTGGGATACAATGGACAGTTGTTTGCTGGCACAGCAGATTGGTCACAGGGAGAACATGACAGAGCCAGTGATGGTGATGGATGGACGGCCCTGGGGCAGGCTGCTGGGAGCCACCCTCTCCGGCACCCTGTGGACTCTTGTTATTAAGAGGATGGGGCCTTGGAGAGCAAACCAGGCCCCTGGCTTATTTTATTTTTGTGGCCCTGGGAATTGAACCCATGGTCTTCCCGCTGAGCCACGGTCCCAGACCTTTATTTTTAAAATTGCAGTCCTCCTACCTCAGCCTCCCAGAGTGCCGCAGTTACAGGTGTGAGTCCCCCTTCAGTGTGACCTGATCCTAGGACAGAGGACGGGAGGGGTGTGGAAGGGAACATGAGACTTGCCGAAGACCCAACAGTGAGTGTACAGCAGTCAGGGCTTCCAGAACCTTCTAGAAGGTTCCTTCAGGGCACTACCTTCATCTGTGCCTTGCCAGTCTGGCACCCTATTCCCATTCTGGGCTTGGGTTTCCATCCTCCTGTCTCTTGTATCTATCTAATCTCTCCTTTCTCTAGCCTCACCACCCCTCTCTCTTTCCCAGGCCTCCAGGATAATTACGCAGCTGTTGCTGTTGGCTTTTTTTCAGTCTTGCTCTGAAGTCCATGCTGGCCTGGAGCCCTCCTGCCTCAGCCTCTGGAGTGCTGTGATTACAGTTAGGCCTGGGCCCCTAAGCTTCCCTTTAAACCCTGCCCTAACCAGAGCTGGTTTGGCAGGAGAGGCGGGAACTTGGAAACGCCTCCGAGTCTGGGGAGAGGTGAACGGAGCCAGCGTGTCCAACCCATCTAAAATCAGGCTTTCTCTTTTCAGCCTTCCTGTTCCCTGCTTTCCAAGGCCCATACTGAGGCTCAGAGAGGTTGAGTCACTTGTCCAAGATGGTCCAGTGGCAGATGGTGGCAGACACAGCCTCAGGGCCATCTTCTTGTTCCCCTTTCTACTGGAGCCCTCTCCTGCTAGGCCCAACGCCTCTCCAGGGTGTGGCTGCTCCCCAGGCCTCCTGGGGGCCGGAGACAGCAGTCACCCCAGAGATCCCTGGCTAGCCCCAGCCACAGGGTCCCCTCCTGCTCAGGGCTGCTCCCCTTTGGTGGTCATGGCCAGAGCTGGGGTCGCTGCCTTGCATTGGTGGAGGGGGCTGGGGTGAGTGGGTGTCTGCTTGTGAACAGAAGGCCTCCGGGTTCATCCTGACACTGAATGAAAAACTCCCCAATTATTTGCCCAGCCTCATTAATATGCAGACAGACATCTGTTATTTAGAAGTCAACAGCAGCGGTGGGGGAGGGGTGCCTGGCTGCCTTGTCTGTGGCTTGGGGGGCGCCAGCTGCCTGACACAACCCACCCTGCAGACCTGAGGGACCCCTGGACCTCTCCCCACCCTCGAGGAAAGCAAAGAGGGGCCAGCCAGAGACAGGAGAGGGGCTGAAATCACAGAAGCTGATAAAACAGATGCTCAACTCTGGGAGGGGGCAGAGTCACCCCAGCGATGTCCCTGGGAAACTCAATACACCCTGGACCTACAGGAGTCCCGCCTCCAGCCCACTGGGGAGTCTGGTAGCTGGGTGGGTTACCATGGCAACGTGGGGTCCTCAAAGTTCCTACAGGAAAATGGGGACAGAATTCAGAAATATGGAGACCCGAGGACCTCGGCCTCCAGGTTCAGCTCCTAAGACTGGTGCAGAGGAGAGGCCGCCTCCCCTGCCCTCTCCTCAGGCCTAAGTCCCAGTGCCAACCCCACACCTGCCTTTCCTAGTTCCCTCAAGCCAGCCTTGGTCCCTGAGGACCCTGCCACTGCCTCTGGTGTAGAGGGTGACAACACAAGGGGTCTGTGCAGGAGATAAGCCCCTTTATTCTGGCTTACTGGGGACTGAACCCAGGGCCTTTGCACTGAGCTATATCTCTTCTCCTTTTTCAGTTTTTATTGTTGAGAGATGGTCTCGCTAAGTCCCTGAGTTGTCCAGGCAGGACTTTGACTTGAGATCTTCCTGCCTCAGCCTCCCAGAGTATGGGGGTGACAGGTGTGCACCACCATGCTCCACCTCTCTGATCAACCTCTTCCAAGTATGAAAACAGCCTCGGAGAGCCGCTAGGCCTTGCCAGACTCCCCAGGAAGGAAACCTAGGGCTGGACATGGGTCCAGAGGCAGGCATCTGTCTCCGAAGCTCAGCTCTTTCCCTGCCTGTCCCCAGAAGGCCACCTGTGTGGGACTCCTGACAGCGACAGCTGGGTGTCTCTGAGGTTAGAGTCTTCAGGCCTCCTCTCCCTCCTCCCAGAGGGCTGATTGCTGAGGTTAAAAAACTCCAGCAGGATCACAGCATGATCAGTTATTTATTCCATTAAATGATTAACGCAGCTACATTGTTTCCCTAATGGGTGTGGGTGCCTAATTTGTGGGGGAAACACAGCTGCAGAAGTGGGGTGGGATTCCTGTGTCTGCAGGGGCCGGGTTGAGGCCCCGGCATAGCCCCTCCTGGCCCTCTCCCTGTACTCGCTCTTAGAGGGGACCGGCATCAGTCCTGGTGGGACTGGCAATGTGTTAAAACTTTGGGGGTTTCTCTGGCTGATTTATCTTCCTCATTATGTTTGCTTTTGGCAGATATTGAAATTCGTTTGTGTTCCCTTAGGGCAGGGCCAGGAGAGCAGAGGGCAGAATGCCCTGCAAGCTGGAGGCCTCAGACTCAAGCAGGCTTTGTGCCAGATGACCCCAAGTGGAGAAAAAGCTGATGTGTGGGGCAAGCCTGTGATCCCAGCACTCGGAGGCGGAGGCAGGAGGCTCTCCAGGAGTTCAAAGCCAGTCTGGGCTAAATACTAAGACCCTGACTCAAAAAAACTCACAGGAAACAAATCTGGTCACTTTACTGTCTGCCTAAAGTCCCCCATGGCTGCCCACATCCTCAGAATATAGCCCTGTTGCGGCTGGTGAGATGGCTCAGTGGTCTAAAGCACCTACTTAGAACAAGCTTAGCAAAGCACAGGGACCGCTGTTTGATCCCCCAGCACCACATGCCAGCCCGCCCCACCCCCAGGGCACACTGAGACAGCGATTGAGACTGGGCTGAGCGTGGTGGTGCTCGCCTGTAATCTCAGCGCTTGGGATGCTGAAAACAGTAGGATCACTTCATCCGATCTACGTAGTGAGACCCTGTACTACTTTTTTTTTTTTTTTTTTTTTTGCGGAACCAGGGATTGAACTCAGGCCCTTGCACTTGCCAGGGAAGCATTTATTCTACTGAGCCATCTCTTCGGCCCCAAAATACATTTTTTAAATGTTTTAAATTACATGCTCCAGGGCTGGTGAGATGGCTCAGTGGTCTAAAGCACCTACTTAGAACAAGCTTAGCAAAGCACAGGGACCGTGGTTCGATCCCCCAGCACCACATGCCAGCCAGCCCCGCCCCCTGGGGGGCTGAGCTGGCCACACACACACACACACACACACATAAATAAAATTTAAAAAAAAAAAAAAAAGAATATAGCCCTGTTGCCCTCATGGGTCCCGCAGTGGCCCCTGTCTGGGTTCCATGCTATGAAGCGGACCATACAAAGTACATCCTTGGAGCCGCGGAGATGGCTCAGTAGAATAAGCGCTTGCCTGGCAAGCACAAGGGCCTGAGTTCAATCCCCAGTTGCACCCCCCCCCCAAAAAAAAAGGTTCATCCTCATGCCCAGAGTTGGCACCTGCTGTTCCTTCTGCACCTTTCCTGGCCCTTCACTGCCCCACAAATTTCTTCAACCACCAGGCCCCTCACAGGTGTGGGCAGGAACATTTCCCAAGCCAGTCACCCTCACCTCACATGGCACCGGGGACCTCTGCTGTGCTGTGGTTCACCTCCCCAAGGCTGGAGACCCGTCTCTGCCCACAAGCCAGCGCATGGCACAGGCTGAAGCAAGGGCAGCTGGTAATCGGGTGGGATCTGGGGATGGAAGGCTAGGTCTGGGAAAACAGGTACAGCAGGGGCAGGAAAGGAGGCCCAGCAGGGTCCCAGGGGAGAATGTCACCAGAAAGAGGCCAGTGGGACCAGAGCCAGGGTGAAGAAACAGGACAGTCTGCATGCAGACTCCAGGCACACAGGCCAGCACTGTCCTCCTGACGCCTGTGCTCCCAGCTCTCCTCCAGGAGTGCAGGTGGGTGGACCCCAAGTCACAGCAGAAGCTCCCAACTGCTCAGGAGCCCAGCATCCAGCTGCTCGCTGCTAGGGAGGAGACTCAGGCCCAGGAGGGGTCAGCTTCCCAGATGTGGCCACAGTGCCCAGGTTAGCTAGGCTGGAGGGCAACCCCAATACCTGCTGTGTGGAATACACCAGGACCCCTAAAGCCAAGGAGTGAAGAACCCCAGGCTCCTAAAGGTCTCCACCGATCCAACTGTGTCTGCCACCCTGCTCTGTGTCTACCTGCCTGTGGGGACCAGAAAGTGCCCAGGGCAAGCCACCCCCACCCCCACCCCCACCCCGAAAGACACGGGTAGAGTGGTTTTGGAAGAAACAACACACAACACAAGTATAGCCACAGCGTTCTCCAAGGACTTGGGCTTTATTTCGGGACTGTCCCAGGTGGGAAAGGGAGGCCAGGTCCAGAGGGTGTGCAGAGGGGCTTCTCTTAGCTGGGTGTAGGGTCTGGGGGTAGCACTATGCAGGCAATGAGGAGGAGGAGAGGACCGGGAATGGAGCTCACAGACTGACTCTTGCCGTGGGGACAGGAGCCAGGGCCAGGCTGTGGGGCCAGGGCAGGAGGGAGGGCCCTTTGCGGAGGAGACAGCAAGGTCACTGCGTGACGCTGGCTTCCTGAGTGGCCATTGTCCATCCTGGCTCACACTTGATGCCCAAACTGAGCTCCCTCAAGTTCCGGCAGAGAGAGACAAAGAGGATGAGGCATGGTGCCACCCACCCCCTGCCCTAGCAACTTCCTGGCTGGGGTCGCAGATGAAGCCTAGGTGCCCTCCCACCTTGCCCTCCGGGCCCTCACATGAGGCTGCAGCTCTTGGCCCGGTCCTTGTGCATCTCGCCCTCACCACCCCGCTCCGGCCGGCCCGACAGTGGGGTGGATCGCTGCAGGCCCCGGCGCGAGTCAGTGCGTCGCAGCTGCCGGTGGCTTCGGCCCAGGGATGCCACAGTGGCCACGTGAAAGACGTCCCTGACACTGCGCTCTGAGGACCGGGAGGAGCACTCTACGTAGGACACAGCCCCCACCTGCTTGGCCAGCACAGTGCCCTGGAGAAAGGAGCAGGGAGGTCAGAGGACTGAGGTGCAGCCCAGCAAGGGGTCCAGTGGGCGTGGACTAGGCTCAAGGCCAGGTCTTGGGGGGGTGGTGTCACAGGATCAGGTCCAGGCCAGGGCAAAACCATAACCAAGGACTATGTTTCTGTTTTTGTTTTTCACCGTATGGAAGACTGACACCAGGGCGAAGCTTGCATCCCCAGCCCTTTTTTATCTTCAATGTTTCTTTTTCTTTTTTTCTTTCCTTTTTTTTTTTTTTTTTTGCAGAACTGGGGCTTGAACTCAGACCCTTGCACTTGCCAGGGAAACGCTTATTCCACTGAGCTATCTCCCCGCCCCCCCTTTATCTTTAATTTTCAGACAAGGTCTTGCTTAATCAAATCAGGGTTAGGGGCCGGAGATATATATATATATATATCAGGGTTGTGCACGTTGGCTTGAAATTTGAATTCTGCCTCGGTCTCCCAGAGCACTGGGATCACAGGCATGTGCCACTACACCCTGCCACACCCTGCTAGGTAGTATGTGAAGGCCAGAGGACCGAGGTCCAGGTTCAGGTTGGGGCGGAGGTCCAGGGTCCCACCTGCTCGTGTGTGACAGGGATGAGCCTCTGCTTTGACAGCTCCCGCAGGGTGGCCAGGTCTGTCCGCATGTCCAGTTTACACCCAACCAGCACCACCTTGGCATTGGGGCAGAACTCCTGCGTCTCCCCCTGCCACTGTAGAGGGGAGAAACAGGCTTATGGGGTGGACACAGGGAGCTCCCAGCCCTCCTCAGCCTGCTGGAGGCTCCCGTCTCCCCAGAAGATGGAGGCGTGGGCTGAGAAGGCCAAGAGAGGCCTTCAGGGGGCTGGGACCTCCTCCCTCTGGCCAGGAAGACCTGGCACCTTGGAACCCTGCACTCTTGCCCAGCTCTGAGGCTAGCAGGAAGAGGAAGAGCGGGAGGCACCGGCACGTCGCCCACACTGCCCGGACTTCATCTGCTCCCCTCTGCTCATCCCGGGCTGCAGTCACCTGCCCCACTCCGCACCTTCTTGAGGACACTGTCCAACGTCTCTGGCCGGCTGATGTCGAAGCAGATGAGCACAGCATCCGAGTCTGGGTAGGCCAGGGGCCGGACATTGTCGTAGTAAGAGGAACCTGAGGGGACAGCAGTGAGGAAGCACATGACCACTGGGGGGGGGGCGGTAGAGGAAGAGACACAGAGACCAAGGGACTGCGGTAGAGGGGTGGCGGGATTACAGGGATGTGCTGCAATGCTTCGGAGGTCGGGTTTTTTTTTTTACTTTTTTCTTTCTTTTGCACTATTGAGCATCACCCCTTTTTCAGATTTTGAGACAGTGTCTTACTGGTCTTACTGTGTTGTTCAGTTACCCAGTCTGATCTTAAATTTGCCATCCTCCTGTCTCAGCCTTCCAGACTGCTGGGATTACAGGTGTGCACCTAGGTACCTGCTTGAGTTTTGGAACCTTCTGAGATGCTCAAGAAATTTTGCAAGTGCTTTTTGGATTCTGACAGGTGTCCTATAAAGCCTCCAGGAAACTGTGTGGAAATATCAGCCCTCTCCTGTCCAGCAGTGAGGGGCAGGGCCGGGGAAAGTTCTGCTGCATCCTCTTGGGACTTGGCCTCTGCTGCCTCCAGCTCTGTCCGGCAGGAGAAAGGCTGTACCTCAGTCCTTCAGCGGTTCTTCCTGCCCAGAGAGTGAGGCACCAGGCTTTCTCCTTAGGACAGTCTCCCGGGCTCGCCAGCTCCTACCTCAGTTTCCCTGGCATTCAGTAGAACATGAAATTTCTCTCTAGACAGGAGGAGATGTGCAGAGCTGGCCTGAAATCTCAGGATCTGGCCGAGCAGGGGTCAGGGCAGCGACGGAGGTCGGGTGACCCTGGGGCCCAGGCTACCTGAGGTGTCCCACATGTTGAGCTCAATGCGGCGCTTGTCGATCTCGAAGCTCGCCGTGTAGTTCTCAAAGACGGTGGGGACGTAGCTCTGCGGACGGGGGAGGGGGTCGGCGTGAGTGCCCGCGGAGCCCCGCGGCCGGCCGCCCCGCAGAAGTTGGTCTGGGGCCCGTGGGGGACCCCGATCCGCCGCCCGGGGATCAGAAGGGGCCCGCCGGGCGCCCTGGCCCTCTCTCGCCCGCTCGTCCCCGCCCCGCGCCGCCCCGGCCCGGCCTCGCGCCGCCGGCCCGCTCACCCCGGGGTAGGCGTCCTTGGCGAACACCTGCAGCAGCGCCGTCTTGCCGCACTCCGCATCCCCCACCACCACGATCTTGCAGCGCCCGCCCTGCGCCTCCATCGTCCCCGCTGCGCGATGTCAGCCCCCGTGCCGTCCGCCGCCCGGGCCCCGCCGCTTCCCCCGCCCCCGCC